CTACATCACAAATGAGTTTACATTCTTTCTTTGGGTTTTTAGTGGCTCCATGTTATACTGATTGTATGGGTAAATTTTAGCTAGTACTCATGTTATGTGGGCCTTGTTGAATGAATTTCATCACCTGTATCAATTCTCCAACCTTGAGGACAAGGTTGTTTTTAATGGGGAGGGTATTGATATGAGCAAGGGGCAAGAAAGACAAATTATAGATAAGGGGTAGTAAATAATCCAATGGTTGAGAATAAATCTGAATTTGTCGTAACAAAATTACCGTTAGTTGATGTATAAAGGGGGGGAAAGGGAATTGTGTAAAGGGTGTCTAAAATTCTAACTCATTTTTTGTTTAGAATAAACGTTTAATTCCCATCTCTCTCTTCTCTTTCTTATCTCAATCTTGCTTTTATCTCATCTTCAACCTCTGTTCTTTAAGATAGGGTCCAAATCTTATCAGCATTGATCTTTTCGATTAGATTAGTACGACATTAAGCTACTTACATGTTATGTAAGTTACAGACCTCATGGATGCAGATAAGGAGATGCCTTAGCTGGGCGGATTTGTTAGTGGAACAAATCGCACTGAACTGACCCGTCGAGAGACTCCTCAAGGAATGATTACGACATGTATCATTGGATATAATTTCTCATCGTTTGGTAGTGCGCATCGTCCTTGGACTTGAATTTGTCATCGATTACTGTGTGTGAGGGTCATATTTTGATTGTATAATTCTATCCGCCTGAAACATGGGGAGCATTGTGTACTCTTGGGTATGATCTAAGGCCATGAGTATAGATGAACAAGCTAATAAGATTCATCATCTAGGAAAGTTATCTTAAAGAGACTGGTGGGACTTGGATGACTTCCATATGACCTAAGGCCATGGGAATCAATGTATATTTTGTTATTGTACCTCCTTATTTCCCTAATTATATTAACTCTTATCCGTGTTATAGCTAAAACACATGGAAATCATCTCATCTCCTCTCATTTGCTCGTCCTTCAACATGGTATATAGAGCTTGTCAAGAGGCAACCCAATTTCATATTCTCAAAAGTCTAGGAATCCATGCAGAATATCTTGCTAGACTGGTTTGGATATAGCTCCAAACTCCTTGGACAACATTGGATCCTCTTTCATGTCATTAATAATTTTGGACAGCATTGGATCCCTCAAACTTCTTCATCCACACTGCGATAACTTGCTAGAATGGTTTGGATATAGCTCCAAACTCCTTATTAACTTCCCTAAAAGTTCAAAATGACTGAAATTGTTGTTTTTTTCTTTCTTTTTTATAAAAAAGTTAAATGAGCTGTGTCCGTAGCGTGTTGTAGAATTTTTTTTTTAAATGGACATGTAATGCCTGTGGTCTGTGTGTCATGTTTGACACATTCCGACATGCATATATGATACAGAATGGTCACAGCCAATAAAGACTTTACAACTCATCTTGGATACTCATAAATAGGAAAAAGATATGGTTATCTTGAGTAATGCTCATAATGGCCCCATAAATTTCTTAGTTTACATCTTTATTACAACTTATTGCTGTAAATGGCCTATACATAGTTCGAGTGTATATTTGTTTGCCATTGAAAGGCTAATTTATTGTATCAATCTTCCTCTCCATCTTTTGTCTGTGGAATCTGAGTTATCATAAAACATTCATTAGTTTTTGTAGTATTTGGATACGAAAGTTATCAAATACAACCCTAAAATATAAATTGTTATCATATTTCAAAGGATGTGCGATTATATGAAAATTTTATACCATGCTACAAGGTTTGTGACAAGTTTATATACATATCCCTATTGATATGTTATGTCATGTAACAGAGAGTTGGTAGATTCGGTTTAGAATATGATCCTTGCAAAAAGGGTCACTCCACTGTATAATTCAATCTACCTGAGGTCCAAAAGAAACTTCATGTTGATCTAAATCACAAGCCTGCTAAATGGGAGACCTACAGGTGATAATTATTTGAGAAACACTTGTAAAGATTAGATTTATGTTCACAGTATGTATTGTAGATTAAACAAGAGCAACTTTGCTTAGGAATTCAATGTGGTTATTGGGAATACATCCTCATTCATTGCTAGACAAGGTCAAATACTATATTAAATGAGGTTTATCATTCAAATCTGTTTGATTAGTAAATAAAATGCTTTTAACACTCAACTGTTGTGCTTTCCTTTATAATACTCCTTAACAATTTTAGATCCCCTGCAACTAAATCATTTAGTAATTTTTTTACTAATAGCGACTTTAGGGATTATAGGCTCAATATAAAATGCATTATTGCACTTCTTTCTATTTCCCTCCATGTTTGTGTGTGCTGCCGTTTCTTTTACCAAATGTACAGAGATCAGAACCATCTTATTCTCATTCTCTGCAGTGAACTCGTAAATAACAACTGGAAGGATTCTCCAAGAATAGTGCTCAATATTTATCATGAACTTATTCATTTCGACTTGAGGATATGGATGTTTAGGTTACTCTCATCGCCTAACATCACACATGATTACATATGTGTTTACTCATTCATATGCTTTTATACTTGCATACAAGTAAATATTAGCTAGAAAGGACTTCAAGGTAATCTGCAGCAATTGTCTGTGTTATGTTGACTAAGACAGTTTGCTAATTACTTAGGATCTGAAAAGACTGCAATTGAGATTTATCCCTCATATCAAATTCTTGATGTTAGCTTCTTATTTTTAGTATTTGATTGAGGTCCCTTAGTTGATTAGAGTAACAGACACTTGAGCATAACAAAGTACTTACATGACATCTGATCAGTTGATCTCCTTAATGTTATATAATCACCTCATGTGTTTTTATGTCCATTTTTTTTTTCTTGTATGGTATTAGCTACTTTAGCTGGTGTTGTAATTAATGTGATAGCTCAAAGCCGTCTTGTTTCTTGTCAGTTTGCTAATATAGGAAGTAGTGTGGGAAATTTTGTGAACACTTGAGTTATAGTAAACATTTTAACCACTATAATTTTATTTACATCATAGCATAAGATTTTCCAACTTTTTTCTCCATTTCCATTTCAAAATTCATTTCCTGCATGATGGTTTTCAGTTTTGACACTTGAGGGACATATTTGGTTTGAGCTTAAGTAAACATATATTTTAGTTTAAAAGCAAAAATGTTATAATGAAAAGACTGTCAATGTCCCATTAAGTCCTTTTGGAACCCAATCTGCTTGAAGTAAAGTATCCTTTCTTTCCCTCCTCAAACAATCTTTGCCACCAAACTTATATATTATTTTCCCTTATGTCAGTGGTAATACAGATACCGTAATCCCTGTGACATCTACTCACTATAGCATAGATGCTCTCAAGCTTTCACCTTTGAGCCCTTGGCATGCATGGTATGATGATGGGGAAGTAAGTGATTTCTACAATAAGTTTTGTTTTGTCTTCTATTTCATCTGACTTGGTTTCTCTACGTTAATTTTCTATTTTCTCCCCTTTTTATTGTTTACTTCAGTTTAGTGCATTGATATATAAGTGAAACAGGTTGGAGGATGGACCCAAGAATATGATGGACTCACGTTTGTGGTTATAAGGGGTGCAGGGCATGAAGTTCCTTTGCATAAACCCAACCCACACTCAATTCTTTCTTTCTTTCTTTATTTCTCTGCGCCATCTTTTCTTTTCTTTCTTTCTGTCGTTTCTTTATTTCTCTCTTGCAGTAACTACATCTTTTCTTTCTGTCATCTCTTTTATCAAATTTCTTTTCTTTTATCAAACCCAAGCCACACTAAATTCGGTCGAATCAAACACTTGTTATAGCTATTGAGTCTTTTATTTCTTTCTTTCTGTCTTTCTATCTCTGCGCTATCTGTTCTTTTCTTTGAAATTTGAAACCTTCCAAGATGATTATCAAGAGGCGTCTTCGTGATAAATGTGATAAATACACTGGTGATCAAGAAAAGCCAAAGAAACGGTTGAAGGTGTTGAAGATGGTTGTTGGGAAATTCTACTATCCAAAGGATAACCCAGAGAAACCAATGGGAGAAGACGCATTCTTCATCTGTGAGGAACAACGAACCATGGGTGTGGCTGATGGGGTCTGTGGTTGGGCCAAGAAAGGGATCGATTCCGGTGAATATGCCAGAGAGCTCAAGCCAGAGGCTGTGAATGTTGTTCAACTTCAATCAGAAAAAGGTAGGCTTTGTTGATCCAAGAAAAGTGTTGAACGATGCTTTCTTGAATACCAAAGCTAAAGGTTCCTCCACGGCATCTATTGTTACTCTGAAGGAAGGGGTGTTGCATGGGGTTAATGTGGGTGATAGTGGTTTAATGCTCTTTAGAAATAATAGGCTTTTGTTTCAATCACCCTTCCAACAACACTCTTTCAACACGCCATTTCAGTTCGGGAACAGTAAGAGTAGTGACCGCCCTGACTCGGCATATGAGTATAAGATTGCGGTAGAGGCAGTGGATATCCTAGTGTTAGGAAGTGATGGACTTTTTGATAACTTGTACGCTGATGCTATTGAAGAAATTCTGAGCTGGTCAGATGGAATATTGGGAGTCGATGATTTGGCTGAGCACATAGCAGATGTTGCTCTATTCTTTTCCTTGTCAAAAGATGGTCGAACACCTTTTCAAGATGCTTCTCAGAGGGAAGGACGTAATCACGTGGGTGGAAAGAAAGATGATATCACTGTTTTAGTGGCTCAAATTACAGTATGAGATTGTTTAGTCCTTTGAGTTTTGTAATATTTCCTTCTCATTTGATTACTTGTATGTATGAAGTTGTTTAGTCCTTTGATTGATGTATATACTTCCTTCTCATTGGTAACTAAACTTTGTTTTTCATGCCTGGGATTAATATAGACTTTTACATCTGGTGTTACAATTGATAACTAGATTGTGTTTTACATCTGTACATATTTTCTGTAAAGCACATGTAATGTAATGGAATAAGATCTCTTATCTCCAACCAAAAACTCAGACAGAGCCACACAGCCTCAGTGTCCAGCAAATGACACACTCTTGGTGGTTTCAAACTTTAGCCATAGGCACCACATGGTTCAGTCTTTTGGTATGCTCAACATCTTCAACTGACCCATTTCTTCAACAACGCCTAGACAATGTTGGTTGGCTCCCAGGTCAAACCTTTAACATCAGCTTTGAACACTATTCTGGTTATGTCACTATTAATGACCAAGCTGGGAGGTCACTGTTCTATTGGTTCATTGAGGCTCAAGAAGACCCTCACTCCAAACCCCTTGTTTTATGGTTCAATGGAGGTTAAAAAGCATTTTTCATTATTTCCTTTTGGTTCAATTTTTTTTTTTTGGTGGTTTGTCATTGGCTTTTTTTCACTATGATGGTTTCTTAATCTTTCTCATTTTGGCTACTTTTCCTTATTGTGATTATTGTTGTGTCATGGAATATGTGGTAATCACTATGTGTTAGTATTTGTTATTATTAGGATTAAAATGAAACATTCTTTGGGGGGTCTGTGCAGGGCCTGGATGTTCATCCATTGCTTATGGGGAGGCGGAGGAAATTGGCCCTTTTCATATAAAGTCAGAGGCAAGACCCTTTACCTGAATCCTTATTCTTGGAATCAAGGTGAGTGACAATACAATCTATAACCCTAGTTCAACATTTTTTTTTTGTTCAGGACAGTCTTTGAGATATATAAAATGTGCTTGCCAAAAATTAAATAAAAACTAAATACACATTTATGCCTAAAACCTTAAGGGCTTAAGCATTGGGTTTATGTAAGTCTTTTTTACTTGTATGGTACTCACTTTATTCCATCTTTGCCAATCCGGGACTTCTTCACCCACACCTCCATTTGCACTTGAATTTCCTGCACTCCTTTGTTTTCCTTTAGATTTTTCAATGCTTATTTCATATTGACAAGTGTTTACCTATGCCTACTGCAGATATTGTTTTCCTCTAGAGCTTTTAATGTTTATTTGATAGTGACAAGTGTGTAATTATGCTTCTTGCACATTGTTTTTCAGTTTCTTTAATTCTGTCTAGTGCTTATATTAACTTAAGCTGCTTTGTATAATATATCCTTCAATAGAAATTGCCAAGAAGTTGTTCTTTCTATTGAAATAACTGTAATAGGAATCTTGCTTCTGCTTACCATGTACTCATTTATTAGCATAACACAAACAGTAACCACAGCCCTGTTTACACATTAAATGCACCACATCACTTAAAATGATGATCGTAGTATCAAATACGACACTCCCAATCTCGATATGGCCTCCTTTACCGGGACTCACCACACACTCCATTCCTACACCACTATATAAGGCATAAACGCATGCAAAGGGTTGAACCTTTGACATAAGAAACACTCACTCCACTCCCCCATTTTTCTCCCATTCTTCCTCACGAGATTCACCCCCCATTTAACACTGAACCTTATCTTATACAAAAACACTGATACTCCATAGTAGCATCCTTAAGTTGATAAGCAAAGTAACAGCCAAATTCACAACTGGTTGCACACTTTGAGCTCAAACTCTTCCAGAGAACCTAAGAATATAAATAAATAAGCTTCATAAGTGCAAAGATGCAATTATGTCTAACCATTTGTGCATTTTGTAGCTGCCAACATTCTTTTTCTTGACTCTCCTGTTGGAGTTGGATTTTCGTATTCAAATACTTCATCTGACATTCAGAACAATGGTGATAGGAGGACAGGTTATACTTTTATCATTTAGTATCCCTTTTATTTTGAAATATTGGGTTTACTCTGGTACTCTCTCAAAAAAGGGAGTACTGTATTTTTTATTTTATTTTTAAATGACACATTGAATGATAAAAGTTATATAACTCAATTTGTAACATTTGATGTAAAATGGGGAATTTAAAAAACAATTAGCATGTTACTCCTTTCTCTGGAGGGAGGATTGAAGTCGACCCCTTGAAATATATACATATATGATTAAGTTAATGAAACTTTATGTGCAGCTGAGGACTCTTTGATATTTCTACTGAAGTGGTTTGAACGTTTTCCCCAGTATAAAGGAAGGGACTTTTTTTATCAGTGGTGAGAGCTATGCAGGTAAACAATACTGCACATTATCTCTTGTACTTTCTGTCTTTTCCCAATTTTGTGGATGACTCAGAAAATAAATGATATTTTATCTCTATGCATTAAATTTTTATGACTGTTTATTTTAAAGTCATGATCTGATAGTAGCGGTTATGTCTTCACCTGAAATAGCTTTCATAATTCGAAACTAAAAACAAGAAAAGAAAATAAAAATGGTGAGATGAGAACACATATTAGGTGTTTTGAGTTCTCTGGTTCTGTTTTATTTATTTTATATAGATTTTATGATGTTGTAATTGTATTGGTCAATCATTAATCCCGTGTTTCAGGGAATACAAGATTTCAATTATAATATAAATTAGCATAGAGTTGCTATGGTATCCTTATGGTTATGGTACGTAAGACCAAGTGTCAAGCATTTATTATTAACTCAGTTTCATAATAAATGTTTTGATTGCCATTAAGTACAACCTGTGGCATATCAACTACAGACATTGACGTGAGGTAAAACATGTTAGTATAGGTGTCCTAGAGACAATTTGAGTATAAATGTTTGGATTGCCATGTTAATGTTAGCCGGTCAAATCAGCTGGTGAGAAGAACACGTGTAAGTTTTCCCTTTCTGTGCTATTATTTAACTGGTTTCTTATTCTTTTCTTATGCTCTTAAGGAGCCAAAAATTGCTGGCCGTTGAAGATTTTTTGTTTGTTATGGTCCAGTATATATCTTTAAAAAAAAATATGGTACAAATTTTGATTTCTCGTTTTTTTTTCTCTCTACATTTTTCATTTTAAACCTGAGAACAATATTATAATAAAAAACTCTTATTAAAGATGTGGTTTGCAAAGGGGCATCTTGATTCTGCCTAGATGAACAGAGAATTCCTTCCAAATTGATTTATTATTGTAGAGAAAGATCAGATTAAAAAGTGAGGACTCAAGTTTATAACAAGATTTCAATTATAATATAAATTAGCATAGAGTTGCTATGGTATCCTTATGGTTATGGTACGTAAGACCAAGTGTCAAGCATTTATTATTAACTCAGTTTCATAATAAATGTTTTGATTGCCATTAAGTATAACCTGTGGCATATCAACTACAGACATTGACGTGAGGTAAAACATGTTAGTATAGGTGTCCTAGAGACAATTTGAGTATAAATGTTTGGATTGCCATGTTAATGTTAGCCGGTCAAATCAGCTGGTGAGAAGAACACGTGTAAGTTTTCCCTTTCTGTGCTATTATTTAACTGGTTTCTTATTCTTTTCTTATGCTCTTAAGGAGCCAAAAATTGCTGGCCGTTGAAGATTTTTTGTTTGTTATGGTGCAGTATATATCTTTAAAAAAAAAATATGGTACAATATTTTGATTTCCCGTTTTTTTTTCTCTCTATATTTTTCATTTTAAACCTGAGAACAATATTATAATAAAAAACTCTTATTAAAGATGTGGTTTGCAAAGGGGCATCTTGATTCTGCCTAGATGAACAGAGAATTCCTTCCAAATTGATTTATTATTGTAGAGAAAGATCAGATTAAAAAGTGAGGACTCAAGTTTATAACAAGATTTCAATTATAATATAAATTAGCATAGAGTTGCTATGGTATCCTTATGGTTATGGTACGTAAGACCAAGTGTCAAGCATTTATTATTAACTCAGTTTCATAATAAATGTTTGGATTGCCATTAAGTATAACCTGTGGCATATCAACTACAGACATTGACGTGAGGTAAAACATGTTAGTATAGGTGTCCTAGAGACAATTTGAGTATAAATGTTTGGATTGCCATGTTAATGTTAGCCGGTCAAATCAGCTGGTGAGAAGAACACGTGTAAGTTTTCCCTTTCTGTGCTATTATTTAACTGGTTTCTTATTCTTTTCTTATGCTCTTAAGGAGCCAAAAATTGCTGGCCGTTGAAGATTTTTTGTTTGTTATGGTGCAGTATATATCTTTAAAAAAAAATATGGTACAATATTTTGATTTCCCGTTTTTTTTTCTCTCTACATTTTTCATTTTAAACCTGAGAACAATATTATAATAAAAAACTCTTATTAAAGATGTGGTTTGCAAAGGGGCATCTTGATTCTGCCTAGATGAACAGAGAATTCCTTCCAAATTGATTTATTATTGTAGAGAAAGATCAGATTAAAAAGTGAGGACTCAAGTTTATAACAAGATTTCAATTATAATATAAATTAGCATAGAGTTGCTATGGTATCCTTATGGTTATGGTACGTAAGACCAAGTGTCAAGCATTTATTATTAACTCAGTTTCATAATAAATGTTTTGATTGCCATTAAGTATAACCTGTGGCATATCAACTACAGACATTGACGTGAGGTAAAACATGTTAGTATAGGTGTCCTAGAGACAATTTGAGTATAAATGTTTGGATTGCCATGTTAATGTTAGCCGGTCAAATCAGCTGGTGAGAAGAACACGTGTAAGTTTTCCCTTTCTGTGCTATTATTTAACTGGTTTCTTATTCTTTTCTTATGCTCTTAAGGAGCCAAAAATTGCTGGCCGTTGAAGATTTTTTGTTTGTTATGGTGCAGTATATATCTTTAAAAAAAAATATGGTACAATATTTTGATTTCCCGTTTTTTTTTTCTCTCTACATTTTTCATTTTAAACCTGAGAACAATATTATAATAAAAAACTCTTATTAAAGATGTGGTTTGCAAAGGGGCATCTTGATTCTGCCTAGATGAACAGAGAATTCCTTCCAAATTGATTTATTATTGTAGAGAAAGATCAGATTAAAAAGTGAGGACTCAAGTTTATAACAAGATTTCAATTATAATATAAATTAGCATAGAGTTGCTATGGTATCCTTATGGTTATGGTACGTAAGACCAAGTGTCAAGCATTTATTATTAACTCAGTTTCATAATAAATGTTTTGATTGCCATTAAGTATAACCTGTGGCATATCAACTACAGACATTGACGTGAGGTAAAACATGTTAGTATAGGTGTCCTAGAGACAATTTGAGTATAAATGTTTGGATTGCCATGTTAATGTTAGCCGGTCAAATCAGCTGGTGAGAAGAACACGTGTAAGTTTTCCCTTTCTGTGCTATTATTTAACTGGTTTCTTATTCTTTTCTTATGCTCTTAAGGAGCCAAAAATTGCTGGCCGTTGAAGATTTTTTGTTTGTTATGGTGCAGTATATATCTTTAAAAAAAAATATGGTACAATATTTTGATTTCCCGTTTTTTTTTTCTCTCTACATTTTTCATTTTAAACCTGAGAACAATATTATAATAAAAAACTCTTATTAAAGATGTGGTTTGCAAAGGGGCATCTTGATTCTGCCTAGATGAACAGAGAATTCCTTCCAAATTGATTTATTATTGTAGAGAAAGATCAGATTAAAAAGTGAGGACTCAAGTTTATAACAAGATTTCAATTATAATATAAATTAGCATAGAGTTGCTATGGTATCCTTATGGTTATGGTACGTAAGACCAAGTGTCAAGCATTTATTATTAACTCAGTTTCATAATAAATGCTTTGATTGCCATTAAGTATAACCTGTGGCATATCAACTACAGACATTGACGTGAGGTAAAACATGTTAGTATAGGTGTCCTAGAGACAATTTGAGTATAAATGTTTGGATTGCCATGTTAATGTTAGCCGGTCAAATCAGCTGGTGAGAAGAACACGTGTAAGTTTTCCCTTTCTGTGCTATTATTTAACTGGTTTCTTATTCTTTTCTTATGCTCTTAAGGAGCCAAAAATTGCTGGCCGTTGAAGATTTTTTGTTTGTTATGGTGCAGTATATATCTTTAAAAAAAAATATGGTACAATATTTTGATTTCCCGTTTTTTTTTTTCTCTCTACATTTTTCATTTTAAACCTGAGAACAATATTATAATAAAAAACTCTTATTAAAGATGTGGTTTGCAAAGGGGCATCTTGATTCTGCCTAGATGAACAGAGAATACCTTCCAAATTGATTTATTATTGTAGAGAAAGATCAGATTAAAAAGTGAGGACTCAAGTTTATAACAAGATTTCAATTATAATATAAATTAGCATAGAGTTGCTATGGTATCCTTATGGTTATGGTACGTAAGACCAAGTGTCAAGCATTTATTATTAACTCAGTTTCATAATAAATGCTTTGATTGCCATTAAGTATAACCTGTGGCATATCAACTACAGACATTGACGTGAGGTAAAACATGTTAGTATAGGTGTCCTAGAGACAATTTGAGTATAAATGTTTGGATTGCCATGTTAATGTTAGCCGGTCAAATCAGCTGGTGAGAAGAACACGTGTAAGTTTTCCCTTTCTGTGCTATTATTTAACTGGTTTCTTATTCTTTTCTTATGCTCTTAAGGAGCCAAAAATTGCTGGCCGTTGAAGATTTTTTGTTTGTTATGGTGCAGTATATATCTTTAAAAAAAAATATGGTACAATATTTTGATTTCCCGTTTTTTTTTCTCTCTACATTTTTCATTTTAAACCTGAGAACAATATTATAATAAAAAACTCTTATTAAAGATGTGGTTTGCAAAGGGGCATCTTGATTCTGCCTAGATGAACAGAGAATTCCTTCCAAATTGATTTATTATTGTAGAGAAAGATCAGATTAAAAAGTGAGGACTCAAGTTTATAACAAGATTTCAATTATAATATAAATTAGCATAGAGTTGCTATGGTATCCTTATGGTTATGGTACGTAAGACCAAGTGTCAAGCATTTATTATTAACTCAGTTTCATAATAAATGCTTTGATTGCCATTAAGTATAACCTGTGGCATATCAACTACAGACATTGACGTGAGGTAAAACATGTTAGTATAGGTGTCCTAGAGACAATTTGAGTATAAATGTTTGGATTGCCATGTTAATGTTAGCCGGTCAAATCAGCTGGTGAGAAGAACACGTGTAAGTTTTCCCTTTCTGTGCTATTATTTAACTGGTTTCTTATTCTTTTCTTATGCTCTTAAGGAGCCAAAAATTGCTGGCCGTTGAAG